CTCAGCAAAACGACAGAGAAAATTATTAGCAGATTTTATTGGGATGGAATGCTCAAGGATATAGGAAAATACGTGAAAGGATGTCCGGATTCTTTGTATGTAACGTAACGTTTAACACTACTTATTGACAAAATATTTTTTGATGCCAAAGGAGCTAAATTCCTACTAAGTACTAACTGACCTCCAAAAGCTGTTCCTCTCCAAACTCTTCCGGTAACCAACTGAAACGGTCTCGTACTAATCTCTTATCCAGCTCCTGCCACGCCCACGATAGTTGACACACCCCAACCTTTGTGACAAGCTTCCAACGCTTGTCTCATTGTGTGCACATTCCCTACACATTCAAAGGTATAGTCCTTCCTTGCCAGTAGGCAAGGTAGGGGCAACCTTAAAGAAAAACACCAGCGTTAGGGTTATTACAACCAATACAAGTAGGAACGATTTTCGACAAGATTGGCGTCGACCTATTGGGTCCATTTGGAAGAAGTAATAAGGGAAAAACAATGATAGTAGTAGTTACTGATTACGCCTCAAGATATGCTATCAAAATCACAGCCGCCTTGCCAAATGGAAAAGCAGGACGAGTCGCAAAATTTTTATTAGAAAAAGTATTTCTGATACATGAGGCGGAATTCTGTAACGGATAGAGATCGTTAGCGATATCGTTATGGCACTTGCTGTCTTCTTCTCTCTTTTCGGAATGAATAGAGAGGGAATGTCAATAGAGATACCGAAAATATCTCTATTCGTTACAGAATTCCACTGATGGAATGCCAAGAAATCCGCTTAGCGATAGGGGAAAAGTCTTCCTCGGAGTTAGTAAGGGAATTAGGAAGTTCAATGGGAGTGAGAAGCCAGTTTACGACAGTATATCTGCTGTAACGGATTAACAGAAAGGCTAAATAAGACATAGCTGACATGCTGTCAATGTATTGCAACACACAGCAAACAGACTGGTGTAGCTATTTACCGTTTATTACATTTGCTTATAATACAGCAATGCAAGATACGACTCGACTTAGCCCATTTATGTTAACGTACGCAAGGGAACCCACACTACCTGCTGAAGCTGTGCTATTGTTGTTGAAAATGGAACGGACGTACTACAAATCAGGGAAAGGGCACTCTTAATACGATCTATAGCAGTGGAAAATATACAGAGAAGACAAGGGAAAGATAAGGGGCGTTTTGATGAAAGACATAGAGAATTGGACTTTGAAGCTGGAGACAAAGTTAAGGTGTTTATCCCAATCAGAAAGGTTGGAAGAAGTGGAAAGTTACTTTTAAGATGGTTTCGACGATATAAAGTACTTTTTAAATTTAAAGTGTACAGAAAACTATTGCAGAACGTGGGATACTACCCTTTTCTACAGTCAGCTGAAAGATGGAAACGGAATCAAGGAGATCAACAAAAACGCTACAAAGATGTTCTAAAGGAAATTTTGGCAAAGTGCCACATTGATATCAGCAACTGGGAGTCGAGGACGAATGATAGGCCCTTGTGGAGTCGATGTCCACGATGGACCACAAACTTTTGGAGAACAGCGACGCAGACACGAGACCGGAAAGAGGGAACGCAGGAAGGAGCGAGAGATCAGAGGAAGAGACAATGCTGTCAGAGATTGGGTGGGCCAAGACTGTGGAAGAGTGTGCGGGTCCAGAATTGGTTTATATAGCCATCAGAACACGCACAATCGACAAAGAATAGAATAGAAGATAATCATACTCGGTATCGAGTGATTGCCTATGATAATGATGATGATTCAACATTAGCCTAATAAATTTGAGGGTTTAATCACAGTTCATGAAACTGAGCGTAGGATAATGCATTCATATGTTGAGCCAATGAAACCGCATACATTAAATTGAAAATTCGATTCATTAAACCAATGTTATTTGTACATTATATTGAAGAAGTTATTTCACTCAGGCAATGAATTCTATACGTCAAAATGATTGAATCCTTACTCTGCGACAATGAATTCAAAATTCAACCGTTAAATCAATGAACCTTTTTTTCATCTATTTAACGAACATCTGTTCATAATATAAACAAATTCGTTCACCGGCTCAATAATAATGACGAGATTCACTGGCTTAATGCACTTTTTCGTTGTATTTGTGTACTTTTTTTTTCAGTGTATGCTTTATTTCATTGTATTGTATTTTATTGTATTGTAAATTGTAATTCTATTCATTTTTTATTTTTATTTTTGATGTCTCTTCTAAAAGCATTGGAGACCAATGCTTTTCAGAGGAGAGCATATGTCAACAATAAGTAAATCCCACTCTGTACATCAATTTTACTAAAGTGTGTCGACGAGTCAGCATTTATTTGGTATAAATATCGCGCCGAAATCCATTACCGGCAGACTAAGGCTAGTGCAAAGTACCTCAAATGGGAAAAGCCCCTCTAGCTAAGTCTCCTCCTAGTGCAAACTACCTTTAATGGGAAACGCCCTTCTGGGAGTATTGAACGCAGCAGACTAGGTCTAGTGCAAACTACATTTAATGGAAAACGCCCTTCTGGACCTATCTGAAACCTAGCTTCTTCTGGAAGTATTGAACTCAGCAGACTAGGTCCAGTGCAAACTACCTTTATTGGGAAACGCCCTTCTGGACCTGTCTCAAACACAGCTTCAGTCTTCAGTCACGCCAAGTGTACAGAGTGTACATAATACAGAGTGGCCCCCCGTAGAAGAGACGTCCATGATACTATTTCTAAGGTAATATTATTATTATTCAATACGTATCTTATTATACCTATACCAAGCGAGTTTCTCTCTACCTGTACCCCACCTACGCTTCCAGGTCATGCTCCTGTTGTGACGTCCCAGGACGAAACATATATAGTCCCCAGTACATCGACCTTAAAATTTTGTAACTCATGTACACGCCCAACTTCCTGAGCGGCTTCATAACACCAAGTCGGACAATATTTTTCATGTCTCCACCCTGGGCGATGGGACATTGCTGCGCTAGCTCTTCGTGAAGTTGTCGTTCTGACGTCCCTAAGGAAGTTGATACATGTACGTGTGGTTTCAATGCCAATCGACTGTTTTTTACATTACATTAACGATATCACATTTGTCGGACAAAAACCATGTGGCTTTGGGGAAGGTCCGACACCCTCAACATGTCGCTGTGGCGTCCCTGAGGAAGTTGATACATGTACGTGTAGATTTAATGCCAATCGACTGTTTTTTGTATTACATTACCGATATCATATATGTCGGACAAAAATCACGTGGCTTCGGGGGGCTCCGACGCTCTCAACATGTCGCTGTGGCGTCCCTAAGGAAGTTGATACATGTACGTATGTTTTTAATACCAATCGACAGTTTTTTACATCACATTAACGATATCACATTTGTCGGATAAGAAATTTGAGACAATCAATAAAAAAATTAAAATAAGTTTGCCTTAACGCAACGTGCATATTAGTCAGTTTATTATTTACCTACTTTGTCAAATACCTGTGGGGCCCTGTGTCATATTCCCTGATCTGTTTTTCTGATAGTTCTCCGAGTATTTACGGAAATTATTTAGTAAACGCGGTCATTCAAAACCACGCGTATGAGAAAGAATGGATATTCAGTCGTGTTTTTTGTGCAATCTCAGGAGTGAAGATCCTGAATTTCGGCAGAAATTGATCAATAGGACTTTTGTTGTCCGACTGACTTTAATACTCATTTTATTTGTCCGACATTTACTACACATGTTTTAAAATTACATTGTTATTCATAATTATTTTTGTCGGACATACATGTATCAACTTCCTTAGGGACGCCACAGCGACATGTTGGGGGCGTCGGACCCCCCCAGAGCCACGTGATTTTTGTCCGACCTATGTGATATCAATAATGTAACATAGAAAACAGTCGATTGGCATCGAGATTGGCATCAAAACCACACGTACATGTATCAACTTCCTCAGGGACGCCACAGCGACATGTTGAGGGCATCGGAACTTCACCAAAGCCACATGGTTTTTGTCCGACAAATGTGATATCGTTAATGTAATATAAAAAACAGTCGATTGGCATTGAAACTACACGTACATGTATGAACTTCCTTAGGGACGTCAGAACGACAACTTCGCGAAGAGCTAGCGCGGCAATGTCCCATCGCCCAGGCAGGCCGATCCTCGGGCCAGGGAGTGGAACTCCCCGAGAGAACAACATTTTCGTCCTTATCATTCTCGTTTACTTTTCGATTACGTTGACAAGGACAAAACATTCGTTCTATCGGGGAGCTCTACTCCCTGGCCCGAGGATCGGCCACCAGGGTGGAGATATGAAAAATATTGTCCGACTTGGTGTTATAAAGCCGCTCAGGAAGTTTGGCGTGTACATGAGTTACAAAATTTTAGGGTCGATGTACTGGGGACTAATAGGGGTTGTGACACACACACAATGAATGCTTAAAATACACCAATCATATAGTTTACAGACATGGATTTTAGTATGCAACGTCGCCATGTATAATGACGAGATAGACCCTAATAATCAAAGAAATTGCGACATCGACGACGCTGGAGGCGACGTTAAACGAATAATTATATTTGTTAGAAATAGCAGGAGTGGAATTTAGGAACGTATCGAAATCACGCGTTTTTATTCATTATCTTCGAATGGGGGAACTGGAACTTTTCAACTATTTAAGCAAAATACAATCAAATAGAGAAATAGTCTAGTCGTCAGTCATCGGAAATTAGGCGTCATTAGACAGTACAGAGTTGATTTTTTTCCTCGGGCCAGCTTAATTTCTCTTCTAGAAGCGAATCTAATTGTCAGTGAAAAATTTGAAATGTAGAGTCGCGAACATAATTAGATTTTATTTATATTAAATATCATTAGACGGTCACGAATCAAGAAGTTTATTGAAGAAAATTTACAAGTGTTAAACTACAATATGTGCGTGCTCTAAGTAATCAAAAGATTTGTTTAATTAAAATAGTTTAGTGAAAATAAGGAAAAATTGTAAGTACATACATGTAGGAAAATTGAGACTAGTTTATTTACAGTTTATCGCAATGGACAGTTTGTTACTGGAAAACTGAAAACTTCTTCATCTGGGAATGATCATTCATAATCCCGAATGTATTTCTACATTTCCACGGAAGATCTCAGCATCATAGAATATCAGACATTTTTAATGTGACCAGTGACCACGCTTGTCATACGTACATAGAGAAAAGGTAAGGTATTGGCCAGGTAGGTATTTTACCTATTCATTTTGTCAGTTTTATAGATAATTTTGACACACATCAACAAAATTTCACCAATAATGTTCCAATTGAAAAACCTTGTAGGCTTTTTGCCGCCTAGAATACACATTAGCAAATCAATCCGGTTCAACTACAATAAAACCAGAAATAATCTGAAAATCAACAAAGACACCAAAGTAACTTTATGTCGCAACTCACAAACTCACTGTAATCTTCTCCATTTCAGGTTATTTGTCAGGGATTCACAGGCAAACAAGGCACTTTTCACAGCAAACAAAGCATCGATTATGGAACGAATATGGTCGGAGGTGTTTCACCAAAAAAAGGCGGAAAAACTCATTTAGGTTTGCCAGTTTTCAATAGTGTGAAAGAAGCTAAAGCTGCTACGGGAGCTGAGGCTAGTGTCATATTTGTTCCACCACCAGGTAGGAAAGAGTTTATTTTGCAACAATTAGGTCTAATAGGAGGACCTCAAAACATTGGTCAGGAATTTTTGACCATTTTAATTTGATTTAAGCTTGTGCTAAAGCAATTCACGAAGCAATGGACGCAGAAATCGGCCTGATAGTTGTCATTACGGAAGGTATTCCACAGCACGATATGGTTAAGGTATGTAACCTAATTCCTATAATAATTTTTATTTATTGCTTCTATTGGTACTTATTATCTATTCACAATCCGATGTCCAAAGGTAAAGCTAAAATTTATCACCTTTCAATGCTATTTGATAGGGAAAGGTGATAAATTTACCTTTACTTTTGGACTACGGATTGTGAATAGGATATATATTTAATAGTTATTTATACACCAAGTGAGTTAAATGAATAAACATTTTAAGTCACGTGATGTATACAAAATTTTATCCCACTTTGTGTAAATTTTAAAAATGATCCGCTTTTTAGTTCTCCATAAATCTACTTCATTTTAAAAATGAAGTAGAAGGAAAAATGCCGGGAGTGAGTTAAAAATATTTTAAATCACTGAGGTTTCAGATTTTTAGTTGGGCAGAGTGACTTAAAATGCCGAGAGTGAGTTAAAATCTTTTTAAATCACTGAGGTGATAAACGTCTACTTACCTTTATTGTTATGAGTTCAATAATGTCATTTTTAAACGTCAAAATGGGATTAAAAAAATTATACATATGATGTATATTTTCCCAAGATGGATTTTGACATTGAAAACTTTGAAACATCAACAATACCGCTTGGCCCTGATTGGTTGCAAAATGAGGTGTCCCTGCAGGTTGACATCAGTTTTACAATGCATGTCGTGCAAATGGCGACCAATAAGCGGCATTGTTTATGTTTCAAAGTTGACAATGCCGAAATCTATCTTGAGAAAATATAAACTGTAGTTGAAATTTTGTATATATAATATACGTATTCGTAAATCTGTTATATAGTCAGAACCAGGCTAGGCTACTAGACACATGCGCTTCGATGGGACGTCAATTGACTAATACCCATACCCATTTTACTGCAGGATCGTCCGGGTACAAGCTAATTCGTCTTATTTCCTATGTGTCTATAGTACGTTGTTCGTGGTCCGGTCTGTATGTATTGTGAGCGATCATCCACCTTCACGTTTCAGTTTTGGAAGACTCTTTTATTATTACAAGAAGCAGGCCAACAAATATGTATAACTACAAATCGGATGTATACCTATGTATCATGCATCTAAAGATCGTTTCACCAGGGTTCATACTTGACCTTGAAACTTAAACTTGAAAAAAAGGGTTGTCGTAGATTAATTCATATGACACATTCAATTTTTTTGACAAATCAAAATGAATTACTTCTGGTTTAAGAGCCGACAAACGTTTTTGACGTCATTGATTTGTTTCAGTCAATTTCTATCATAGAGAAATATAATAGTAGTGAACTACGAGAGAAGTCATTCCCCTGTACTTAACTGGCACAATGTCGACGTTAGCGCCCCTGGTGGCTACGGAAACCAATAAACGAGTGAACATTGTTTGAATGCAGGTTTCTTCTTTACCGACAGTGAAAAGGCGACTTTTTTGAATAATTGAATTATTAACATAAGCAAAGCAATAAATTTGTTGAAAAAACTTGCTAAAATTTATCGAGCAACTATTTAGAACGATAACAGAACTTATTTTTAAAAAATCCAAATTAGATGCAATAAGATTCTTTAAGAGGGTCAAGGAGGTAATTGAACAATACAAAAATTATATCTTCAAACAAACTTATTTTTTTATTCCAATTTTATAAATATACAGTAACTAAAAATGTTTGTATTATAAGCTTTGTGTTTACCTTTTTACTGCATCTCGCATCATCGCAAATTCGAAAACACACTATTATTGGTGTCGGTTTTGTCTAAATAATTAATATTTATGATCACAAGAATGTTTTCTCATTTCTCTAATATAAATAATAGAAGAAATTTTAAGTTATGATGATGAGCATTCAGTTTTTGATTGATGGTCTTTGGATTTAATCATTTGTCAAATTTTGTATTTTGTATGTGTTAAAAAAAGAGAGAACATTTTCGGGCAATTTGCTGACAAAGACAAATTAAACCGAGTTGTTAGAAACGATCGAAGTAATTAGTTCAATAATCTGCTACACCATGCGAAATACGCTACGGGTATGTACCTACACAAACACACTTCCAGATTGTTACATTAAACAAACGTCTCTCGTAGTTTACTACTATTATATTTCTCTATGATTTCTATTTGGTAAAAAATAGAGGCAAATTATGTCAAAAGTATGAACCCTGGTGAAACAAAGTTTATATACTTATGAACTTGATCAACTTTTGTTTGGACTATTTGCTTTCCAAAAAAGTGTTGGTGGTAGGATATATCATGTTCTGGATTTTGGATATCTTTCTTCCACTGAAAGGATGTCCAGTGAAGAATTTCGTCGTTGATTTTCTGGAGATCCTATAAACCTGACTATTCAAAAGAAAATAGCGCAGAAAATATTTAACTCATTGGTAGGTAGGCTTCTGCGTCCTGCGTCTGTAACAATAAAGCAGTATATATAGGGTGACAAGAAGTACAATAATTATGTCAGGGATGGTAAACCAGGATAGATGTCGACAGTCTACGAAGGATTCGTTGATGATCAAATCAGTTGTTGTCAGTAGTATTTTTCGTCCAGCAAAATAAATCTATAGGTACATTGAAACATGAAACACAATTAGGTATATAAATGCTTAGCAAAAACTTGTGGACAAATAGTTAATCAAGTCACAATGCATCCGCGTGAAACTCACCCATATCTGGCCATGTTGTCCAACTCGCTGAATACTAATCCAGCTTGTTTTTGTCTAATAAGTTTTAATTTTGTTCAGTTTCGATGGTTTGATATCTGGAACCAGGACTTTTTTGGAAAATGTCCACATTATTGGTATGGAATCTCAATAGGATTATTCCAATGTTCCATGCCTCACTGTGTGGGAGCGGTTAGAATATCTGCCAACGTTTATCCTGGGACTAAAATGAACCAAAATCCTACCGGTATAAGTAGTAGAGGTACCCTCTTGTCGACCAACAGCGTCGGGTGGAGGAGTTAACAAGTTCTGTCTTCTCCTACTAGGGATGAGTAATTGTCCCTATAAAGGTGGATGAACTGATATCTAGTCAACGACATGAGGATGCAGAAAGCAAAATGGGATACTACTCCATTGGAGATCAGGTAGATCTCGGAAAGGTTTCACTCTCCGACTGGCAATCGGCGCTTTTCCTCGTTCGGGGGGTTAGTGGTGACCGGGCCCAAGTGCGGTACGATCATCAGGCTTTTTGGTCTTAGTATCAACTACAATAAGACCAAGGTCATGATTGTTGGCGACAATAATCTTGAAATAACATCAGTAAGCCGTTTTCGGGTAGTCCAGAGTTTGGTAAATACCTCGGTTCTTTAATCGGCAATTCAGGTGGCTGCGAGGTTGAAATCCGTCAACGCATTCAACAAGCACGGTCAGCCATGACAAGAATAACTAAAATATGGCGTGACAATCATATCACGGAAGCCACCAAAATGTCGCTTGTCCGGTCTTGTGCCTTTTCCATATTTTTGTATGACTCTGAGACTTGAATTGTTAGTAAGGCAGATCGCCACCGCATAGCCGCATTTGAAATGTGGACTGGGAGAATGTTAAGAGTTCCTTATACAGCTCACAGAACTAACGTTTCGATGATGATGATGCTGATACTTGAATAATTATGCAGCTGTGATGGGTCCTAAGTTAGATAACATTTTTGTAATATTTTATTTCAGCTATTTGAGATATTTTTGTTGAGTTGAATAATTCAATGGGCCACATTCTATTCTTGGGTACATATATTTTACAAATTTCTGAGGTAGAGCTTTTTTCCGATTTTTGGGATGCCCTTTAGTTATGAGTCGCTTGTGGTGAAAAAGCCAACGAAATAATATTCCTGTCTGTATTATAATTTGGAACTTACACGGAATTTGCGTCATCTGCATGAAAACCCTAATATGATTTCATGAGTCAAAGGCTGAACCAGTTGCTACTCTCTGGAAGAAAAACAAATTTGCATATAGTTTAAAACTCGTTCACTTCAACCAGAAATACTCGCCTTATCATATGACCTAAAAACTATTACTTATTTGTAGGTAAAATATAGATTGCTGCGTCAAGCCAAATCCAGAATCGTCGGTCCAAATTGTCCAGGCGTAATTACTCCAGGCCAATGCAAAATGGGTATCATGCCTGCAGTCATACATAAAAGAGGAAAAATTGGAATAGTGTCCAGGTAATATGAATATTTTCATTTTGCTCCAACACAGTAAACCACTCGTCCAGTCAAAATTACTTTTGTATTTGTATTCACCTAATAAATTATATTATAGGATCTTCTGCATCATCGCTTTTAGTTTCGTTCATTAACCATAATCCTTTAACCTAGGAAAAGAAATTGTACAAAACCAGTTTCATCTGTTTCTACTTCCTAATGTACATGTAATAATAATAATAGTTGTTAACTTGTTATTCTAGATCTGGCACATTGACCTACGAAGCAGTAAACCAGACAACTTTAGCAGGCCTGGGTCAAACTTTGTGCGTAGGCATCGGCGGTGATCCATTCAACGGAACCGATTTCATAGATTGCCTGGAAATATTTTTACACGATCCCGAAACCAAAGGCATCATATTGATAGGTGAAATTGGCGGTATCGCCGAAGAACAAGCAGCTGAATTTCTTAAGAAGCATAACAAGGGGGCGACGATGAAACCGGTGGTTTCTTTTATTGCTGGAATGACTGCACCACCTGGACGAAGAATGGGACATGCCGGTGAGGACTTTTGTCAAAGAGGTTTTAAAAGCTGAGGCTGAGAGAAAACTTGTTTAGTTTTCCAAAATAACATCGATTACAATACAACATTGAAAAAGTCATTTTCCCGCTTAGTAGCTTAGTACCTATACGCATTGTTGTACTGAATGACTTTCTAAACAAATGTGTGTTCCAGGTGCAATTATTTCCGGAGGCAGAGGTAAAGCAATAGACAAAGTGAAAGCTCTAGAAGCGGCAGGAGTTCGCATTGCAAAATCGCCAGCTATGATGGGCGAAGAATTATTGCAAGAAATGAAGAAATTGGAGATTGTTTAATTTATTTTATAGAATTTTACATATCAGTATGCGTTTTAAAATAATTTTTATCCCAATAAAAACTTCCTTTAAAATAGCAATCAGGATAACGTCACATTTAAATCACAAAATAAAAACCGCTCAAAGGCCATAAAGTTATAGGGTAGTTTATGCAGTAAATAAGATGTTTTGAATACATTAAAGGGCTCTGGCAATCTCGGTTTCAGTAATAGGCCTCGTTAGGGGGATAATAGTTGCAAATTTGCACCCGGGCGTCGAATTAGGGCCAATCAACGGAGACATTTTCTCCGGAAATCATGCCCTTTGTTTGGGATAAATAACTGGGGAGACTTAGCATGAATGGTTCCAAAATTAGGAGGAATTTTATGGGCTTTATAAAAGGTTGAAGGGGTGAATTATTGTGACAGGATCAAACATAGATTTCCAGTCTAGGGCTATCTCAATGTGTTACCTACGTGAGGGTTTTAGGACAAAAATCACTTCATCAAATGGATAATTTTTATACCTCTCGATTCGAAAAGTCATTAATGAACTATTCCTTTTTGATCTTGCAGTGTTAATCTTCCTTTTTTTACACTGGTGCCAATTTACCATTACCTTTTCAACGCAAAAACAACAGCAACAGCGTTATTTAACTAAAAACTCAAACGTTATGTGAAAACTCTACCCCTCAGTTTCATAATATTGCAGGCTAATTTCAGCGAAGCTTTTCCCATGTAATTGCGAAAACCGATCCCTGAAAAGTGATAGCGGTTTGTTTGCAATTATCCGTCTATTCAACGTTGCTCTTTGATTCTTGCCAGAAATTGTCCGAATCAAATTATATGGTGCTCATTTTGGAACTCTATATTTGATGGAAAGTATTTTTTTATGTTTAATGTTCGGGAATTACATATTGGTGTAAAAATGTATCTCAACAATAAACAAATCGCCCTTCTCTCCAAGTAAAAATAAAATACAAAAAAAGTTGAGGGTCGTGTGAAATACGCGACGGCGAATAACATGAATCCAAAATGACGTTATTTACATGGTAATAGATACGGATTGAAGAAGTTAGCCAAGCACAGTCGAGACTATGAATACATAAATGCCAAAATAAACATGAAGCCCTTAAGTGGTTGTGCCCTCTATTGGCACGATACAGGGCTGGATTTTAACTTTAAATTTTCATCTGAATTTTCACAATATACCTCTTATCATATTTCTTCAATCTATGATAAAACTATCATAGATATGCTATGCTATCATAGCTGAATTTATTTAAAAAACCATGTTTCAACTTTTCAAAAATTTAAATTTTCTGATCAGAATTTTTGTATATATATACCTACATCCATTAGTTTTTGGTTCATTATTAGCTATGCTTACTTCTTTTATTTGGAATTATGTATGGATAATCTGAGATTTGTATAGGTAATTATTATATAATTCTATTACCTATACTCACTATCCAGTTATTTCTTCGTTTTTTTGTCATCATTTAACTACATGGTCTGGTTCGAATTATTTGTTCCTGAATAAGGGATCACCATTTAAAAAAAAAATTCCCAGGCTTGTCTTTTGTGTCCTATTTTTTAATTATATTCTTCCAGTTATAGTCGCGATGGAAGAAGGCAATTTTTCTTGAAAATGGTTATTTGATTTGATGCAAATCTGGCTCCACACCATGTTTGGTCATAAAGTATCCGAGGTATTCGACTTTCTTGAGCAATAAGTCGCCCTGGTCTGGTTGGATCTTAAGATTTCCCTTGCGACGAAGTTTGACTTAAGTCTCTTTCTTTGTTGTGTTCAGGGGGAAAATAGATGATTATGTCATCCATATTTACAGGAAATCTCTCGTAGTATTGAATGCCTAACAGCGTAATGTCCATGATGCGTTCGAAAGTGGACGGGGTCTTCTTTAAGCTTTTAAATGGCTCAGGAACATACTCGTAATGACCATTCTCCACTGAAATGGCAGTCTTTCGAATATCCTTCGGAACAATTTCGATTTGGTGGAATCCAGATGCGAGATCAAGGATCGAAAAATACTGGCATTTTATTGATTTTTCTAGGTCTGAGATGTGAGGAAGCGAATATTTATCGTCCCCTTCAAGTCATTCAATTTCTTGTCTTCCCTTCCTGCTTTCCAGAAGCATCAAGTTTCTTTAAGCCGGAGAGGATCACGGTGACGTAGAATGACGTACGATTCCATATTATCTCTGATTTCATAGTCAATCATTTTTTAAACTTGTGATTTAACCATTTTCGGTTTACCCTATAGTTTCGCTCTATCTCTGTTGGTTCTGGATTATAGTTTCCTGGATTAAAATTTTTCTTTTCCATGTCTTGATTATGAAATCTGCATGTATTGAGTCGAATCGGAGTTTATATATTTTCTTTGCGTGTAGCCTTCAGATTTTATTTAGTAGTTTGTTTTTTTTCTGGAAGGTTCTGTAAAGTATAGGAAGGTGGTACACTTACTTGAAGCAAAGAAGTTAAATTTTACGTAATCGTGTCGCGCTTCGTTAGTGCTTCAATGTGCTTCAAACCCAAATTAGCAATCCTTGTATTTTCGTGAATACCACGAGAGCTTCAAAATTACCGATAATTTTTCACGATTGCGTGTATTCCATAATTTCACGAGTCCGTAGGACGAGTGAAATTTGCAGAGAAAACACGCATGGATGAAAAATTATCTGGTCCAATTTGAATCTCGAGTGGTATTTAGAGGATTATTTGGCGAGTGAAAATGCAAAAAATAAGGAAAAAATATGGTTGCTCATAGCATCCATTTGTTAGTATTGATATCGGGTTTTCAAAAAAAAAAAAAACAATCAAAGATTGCTACGGTTTTTTAAACGTATGTCTTAGCAATATTTTTCTTTATTTTTCTCAATGAACTTTAATGTCAAAATGTCATGTCAAAAATCCTGACTAATGAAGAAACAATAATGCGACGTACGCTGACAGCAACCGCTTGTTTGTATCAAAAATGAGCATGAGAACCATGAATACGATAACATGGGAAAATTATCGCTGTAATTCTCTCTAGTTAAACTAATGGAAAAAATAATTTTCGCTGTAATTTTGAAAATCGTTATTTGTCTTATGGGATTTCTAACACATGAGCGGAATAATCGAAGATATTTCGGTTTTTTGAAATCGCCTGCTTACCTCACAGCCAGCAAGAACAAGGGAAGCACCAACGCTCAGTTACAGAAAAAAGGTTAGTGCTTCAATTTGCTTCAAGCCCCAAATTAGCAACCCTCATATTTCCAAAGATATTCCGATTTTCAGAAACTTCACACACAGTAAGAACATGGAAAGCACCAACGTTCAGTTGTAGATAAATTGTTAGTGCTTCAACACATCACCTTTTAGCAACTCTTATACTTCCAGAGATATTTTGACTTTTTGCAATTGTCTGCTGATTTCATTACCAGGACCGAGAACCGAGAATATGAACAGCATAAACTCTGGTTTTAATTACTCATAAATATGATTAGTAGATGCTAAGTGCTTTCTAATGCTTAGGCCGGTTTACTCATCTTCCGATAAACCTACTGGTAACTATCTACAAGACAAATTTTCCAATCAATAATCCTATTGGTCGACGCATAACTGGCCGAACAATAGGATTATAGATTGCGTTTTCATCCGTCAAATAATCCTGACAGTTTATCAGAAGGTGAATAAATCGGGCCTTAGTTTCTCTTGAGCAGCCGTTATATTCATCTTATCACAAATGTTATACCTAGATCAGGACTAACCATCTATCTGACTACAGCTGAACGTTAGTGCTTCCAATGTTTCTGCTATGTAGGTATGAACTAAGCAGATGATTTATGAAAACCGGAATATCTCTGAAAATCAAGGGTTGCTGATTTGGGGATTAGAGTACATTGAAGCACTTACAATTTATCTGTAACTGAGCGTTGGTGCTTCCTTTGTTCCTGCTGAGTGTAAAGTGAGCAGACGATTTCTAAAACCGTGCTAATTCGCGGATTGAAGCACATTGAAGCACTAACGAAGCCTTAACCATCTGTCTACAACTACTAAGGCCCGAATTCACCAATGCGTAAAACTCTGATTTAAGATATTAAACGCAGTTTCGGCTACAATTGGAATTCACCATATGCCTAAATCCGTAGTTTGTTCCTAAAACTACTGTCAGGAGCAAAACGGCTCATCATTGGACGTTTACAGATTAAAACGACGTTTTACCGTAGTTCGTGACAGAAAATGAAAATACTTTGGTACATTTGGTGCTTTTTTTGTGTAGGTAATGGAAAATACTAATTTCAGCAATGAATCCTGCAAATTGCAATTGCTTCCACAAGCAATAATAATAGTTGTATTCCTTTTTTTTTTTAACGGATATGCGCACTCGCAAGGAAATGTCCTATCACGCTCGAGAAGCGGCAAGTGCGCGGAAATGTCGGTGTATGTTGGTCTTGAAACGGTTCAGGTTGTAACCTGCAGGGAAAACCGTCGCAGGGAGTTTATTCCACAGCGATGCTGTTCTCCAGAGATATGAATTCTGATATAATGAGGTTCTTGGTGCCTCTAGTTTGACAGTAAATTCATGGTTACCGTCTGTTTGACGGGTTCGCCTGGTAGGTGCTACTCTCGGTGGAATCATACGTGCCAACTCTTCAGAGCATTTTCCATGATAGTACCTGTAGAAGAGAGATAAATCACCCACAGATCTTTCATACCTATGAGGAGCTCCGGAACAGCTCCGGGGCTTTACGCGCTTATTCCTTTCGAAAAGTGTTTGTTGCACCTGGGACTCAAGCCCCAAGAAAACCATTTAAATGCATGAAAGCCAGCGCATCTGTTCCTTTCAAATCGGGGCGACTAACATCGGAGCGAGTAGCCCTAGTGGTTCAAACTTTTTAAAGGAATACAGCTATTCTTTCCACGGGCTGAAATATTCCTACTCTCATCCTTTTTTTTGGTATCCCTAGTACTGATGAGCCAAATACTTGTGCCATTTTTTATGTTTTACTTTAGGATTATTAACAACAACAATACAAATTAACTTGTCACCACTCACAACACCAAAAACAATAAA